TACATATATATATATATATATATATATATATATATATATATATATATTACACACACACACACACACACATACATATATATAGATAGATATATCAGTTCCATTACTACTGGAGTCTCCTTGACAGCTTCTGAAGGAGCGCAAGCGCTGGTACTGCCGACCCAGCGCAGATGACGACGAAGCGGTGATTATGGGTTTGATGTGTGCGGTCAGGAAATTGATTGCGCCTTTTTGAGTTGCATTGACTTAGATCATTGAGGTTCTCATTGCTATAACAACAATGTTATTGTTGCTGATGCTGTAAAAACATCAAATAGATTTTGTCTACATATAAACGTACTCTCCCGCACATATATATGATATATATGTGTATGTCTATGTATATGTATATATACATACATATATATATGTATATATATATATATATATATATATATATATATATATATATATATATATGCACCCCTCCTCCTCATATATATGTTGTTATATATATATATGTTTATATATATATATATATATATATATATATATATATATATATATATATATACATATATATATACATATACATATACGCAAACACACACACACACGCACACACACATATATACACATATATGTATATATATACATATATATATACATACAAGTGTGTGTGTGTGTGTGTATGTATATATACATGCATATATACATGCATATATATATATATATATATATATATATATATATATATATATATATATATATATATATATGTATGTATACATATATATATATATATATATATATATATATATATATATATATATATATTACACACACACACACACACACATACATATATATAGATAGATATATCAGTTCCATTACTACTGGAGTCTCCTTGACAGCTTCTGAAGGTGCGCAAGCGCTGGTACTGCCGACCCAGCGCAGATGACGACGAAGCGGTGATTATGGGTTTGATGTGTGCGGTCAGGAAATTGATTGCGCCTTTTTGAGTTGCATTGACTTAGATCATTGAGGTTCTCATTGCTATAACAACAATGTTATTGTTGCTGATGCTGTAAAAACATCAAATAGATTTTGTCTACATATAAACGTACTCTCCCGCACATATATATGATATATATGTGTATGTCTATGTATATGTATATATACATACATATATATATGTATATATATATATATATATATATATATATATATATATATATATATATATATGCACCCCTCCTCCTCATATATATGTTGTTATATATATATATGTTTATATATATATATATATATATATATATATATATATATATATATATACATATATATATACATATACATATACGCAAACACACACACACACGCACACACACATATATACACATATATGTATATATATACATATATATATACATACATACACACACACACATACATATATGTATGTATGCATATATATATGTGTTGTGTGTGTGTGTGAATGTATATGTATATAAATATGTATACATATATGTATATATGCACATATATACGTGTGTGTGTATTATCATTACTGTCGTCTATCTCTTTCTCTCTCTCTCCCTCTCGCTTTATATATATATATATATATATATATATATATATATATATATATATATATGTATATGCATATACATATATACTGCATATAGCTTTCACTTTCCTTCCCTGAAAGCAAGTCTACAAACCATCCTACAAACAAGATTGTTGGCTGATTCAGCGTGTGTGTTTGGTTGTGTGTGTGTGTGTGAGTCTATGTGTTTTTGTGTGTGTGTGAGTCTGTGTGTTTTTGTGTGTGTGTGAGTCTGTGTGGTTTTGTGTGTGCGTATACATATACATACATACATATATATATATATATGTATGTAAATACATACATATATATATATATATATATATATATATATACATATATACATACACACACATACACACATGTATACATATATATACATATACATATGTACACACACACACATAGACACATATGCACGCACACAATCACACTCACTTCCCTTCATGCGCGTTTCACACTCACTTTCTCGTACCTTTCTCCCCTCGTGCTCACTTCTTATCCTTACTTTCTTCCAAGCTCTCTTCCTCATATTGACACTACTACTCATTGTTCACTTTTTCCCGTATTCTTGATACGAGGGAAAGCATCTGAACTTTCTTAGAAATAAATCAGTGCACTTTTATGTCCCCTTCTGTTTGCCACATTCAGACACTGTGACTGTCTCTCTCTCTCTCTCTCTCTCTCTCTTTCTCCCTCTCTCTATATATCTATTTATCCATCTATATATCTACATATAGACATACACAACACGAATATTCCAAGTTTGGCATGACTGACCAAGAGAAAGATGATACGCACTATTCGTTTAGCAATCTTAATATTCATGCAAACAGTCCCATGGTTTCTGCATACCATGTATAAGAATCACAAAAACGAAACCAAATACAAGAGAATACTTTACTCCATGAGAACTCCATTACACAAACTCATTGGATTCAGTACCATCCGCTTGACTCATTTTCCATACCCATAAAGACTACCGTAGTAACCACGAGGTCCACCCAGGTTAAATGAAACGGAGCTCCTGGCACTTCCGTAGCCGCCGTGGCCGCTGTACCCGCTGTACCCGCTGTACCCACCGTAACCGACTCCATGTCTTCTCCCAAGGAATCCGCCTCCATAGCCGCTTCTGTAGCCACCATATCCACGGTGCAGACTTCCATAGCCTCCGTAAAGACCATGTCCAATGCTATGAGCACCTCCGTAGCCATAGCCAATAAGATTCTGACATTGGCTTACAACCATAAGGGCTGCCATGGTTACAAGCCACGTATACTTGAAAGAGAGAATCTGAAAAGACAATATAGAATTAATAGATTATTAGACGGTTCCCCCCCAAAAAAAATCCCTCACAATTATGTGTTTTGTAACTTACTCATCCACTAAATAGTGTCTTGAGAGCCTATAATTCCTAACACGGTTTTCAGAACTAGTTGATGGCCATAATGAATCTTAATAGTAATAACAAGAAGAGGATAAACCAACGGCATGTAGATGAACTATAACAGTATTCAGTATAATCCATTCAGATGAGCAGTTTCCTTTACTTTCATTACTAGTATTCACCTCATAACCAATCCTTTAACGCAAGATACACACTTGTGCAAAAACTCCAGATACATGAAACTTACCATGGTTTGAGTGTTTGATAGAAGAAGGGAGACGCCACTGTATCGTCTTGTCTGATGAGTCTGCTATATATACTGACTTGGGCGTAATTGCCTTATTGGGTGATTCGATGAGTTATGACACAGTTCGGTTGCAATGCCATAAAACAAACATGGTGTCACAATATGCTTGTGTCAATTTTTGTTCATTTATCTTTTTTCAGATAAATTATCGAACTACTGCCGTTGTTGTTTTTTCTGAAAGTCAGTTTTATTTATCTGTCTGTTTATCTGTGTATCTATATGTCTATCTATCCATTTATCCATTTACCTATTTATCTATTTATTTACCTACCTTAGATCATTGAGGTTCTCATTGTTATAACAACAATGCTATAACCGATGCTGTAAAATCATATAACAAATTTTGCCTACATATAAACGCACTCTCCCGCACATATATATGATCTATATAGGTATGTCTATGTATGCAAATTTATACATACATATATATATATATATATATATGTATGCACCCCTCCTACTCATATATATGTTGGTATGTATATATGTATATATATATACATATGTATGTGTAAATATGAACCGTATTAATGTCGACAAATGTAGAAAAGGTATGAATGAGAATGAGTATCTTCACAATACAAGAGATGTATTTGATCGGTTTCGAATTATATCTTCGTCAGAAATACATGATAGAGAATACTTTGTTCCATTATGTACTTCTGACGAAGATATAATTCGAAACTGGTCAAATACATCTCTTGTATTGTGAAGACACTCATTTTCATTCTTACCTTTTCTACATGTGTAAATATCTACGTGCACACACATCTACACGCACACACACATGCACAAACACGGATATATATATATATACACATATGTATATATATACATGTACATGTGTATACAGATACGCACACACATATACATATATGTGTGTGTGTGAATGTATATGTACATATACGTATACATATATGTATATATGCACATATATACGTGTGTGTGTGTTATCATTATTACCGTCTATCTATTTATCTGTCTCTCTCTCTTTCTCCCTCTCTCCTTAGATATATATATAAACATATATATGTATATGCATATACATATATATACACACTGTATATAGTTTTCACTTTCCTCTCCTGAGATCAAGTCTACAAATCAGCCTACAAACAAGATTGTTGGCTGATTCAGTGTGTGTGTACGTCTGTGTTTTTATGTACATATACATACATAAATATGTTTATGTAATTACATACATACATACATACATATACAAATATACATACACACACATATATACATATACATACATATACATATGTACACACATGCACACATATACACACACACACACACTCACACTCACTTCCCTTCATGTGCCTTTCACACACTCACTTTCTCGTGCTCACTTATCCTCACTTTCTTCCAAGCTCCCTTCCTCATATTGACACCACTACTCATTGTTCACTTTTTTCTCGTATTCTTGGTACGAGGGAAAGCACCTGAACTTTCTTAGAAATGAATCAGTGCACTTTTATGTCTTATTAAATCTCCTTCTGTTTGCCACATTCAGACACTGTGACTGTCTCTCTCTCTCTCTATCTATCTATCCATCTATATATCTACATATAGACATACACAACACGAATATTCCAAGTTTGGCATGACTGACCAAGAGAAAGATATGCAGTATTCGTTTAGTAATCTTAATATTCATGCAAACAGTCCCATGGTTTCTGCATACCATGTATAAGAATCACAAAAACGAAACCAAATACAAGAGAATACTTTATTTCATAAGAACTCCATTACACAAACTCATTGGATTCAGTACCATACGCTTGACTCATTTTCCATACCCATAATGACCACCGTAGTAACCACGAGGTCCACCCAGGTTAAATGAAACGGAGCTCCTGGCACTTCCGTAGCCGCCGTGGCCGCCGTACCCGCTGTACCCGCTGTACCCGTTGTACCCACCGTAGCCGACTCCATGTCTTCTCCCAAGGAATCCGCCTCCATAGCCGCTTCTGTAGCCACCATATCCACGGTGCAGACTACCATAGCCTCCGTAAAGACCATGTCCAATGCTATGAGCACCTCCGTAGCCATAGCCAATCAGGTTCTGACATTGGCTTACAACCATAAGGGCTGCCATGGTTACAAGCCACGTATACTTGAAAGAGAGAATCTGAAAAGAAAATATAGAATTAATAGATTGATAGACGGCGCCTATAAAAAAAAAAAATCCACTCACACATTTATGTGTTTTGTAACTTACTCATCCACTAAATAGTGTCTTAATAGCCTATAATTCCTAACTAGTTGATGGCCCATAATGAATCTTAATAGTAATAACAATAAGAGGATAAACCACAGGCACATAAATAATCTATAACAGTATTCAGTATAATCCATTCAGATGAGCAGTTTCCTTTACTTTCATTACTATAATCCACCTCATAACCAATCCCTTAATGCAAGAAGTTATCACAATCCTCTCTGACTACTTTC